GGGGGGCGGCATCCGGTGCGGCGGCGGCGGCGGCGGGGGGTGAGTGGGTGCAGGGCAGCCATGACGGCGCACAGCTTCGCGCTGCCCATCGTCCTCTTCTCCGCCTTCTGGGGCCTGGTGGGGGTCGCCGCCCCCTGGTTCGTGCCCAAGGGGCCCAACCGCGGGTGAGTGAGGGGCTCGGAGTGATACCGGGGGCGGGGGGGGCGGAGCGTGGCGGGACCGGGCCTCGCCGTCCTGACGCCGGTGTCTCCGCAGGGTGATCATCACGATGCTGGTCACCACCGCCGTGTGCTGCTACCTCTTGTGAGTACCGCGAACCGGGCCCTGAGACCCCCTCCGTGGCTTCACCGGTCCCGGTGGCTGCCGCCCGGCCTCCTGCCGGCGGATGAACGGGCAGCCCCGGGGCTCCGGCCCGTCTCCTTCCCGGGAGCAGCAGCATCCCGGGATCGTGGTGCCTGCCCGCCGGGGGCTGACGGTGGGTCGGGTCCCTTTGCAGCTGGCTCATCGCCATCCTGGCCCAGGCCAACCCCCTCTTCGGGCCGCAGCTGAAGAACGAGACCATCTGGTATGTGCGGTTCCTCTGGGAGTGAGCAGCCCCCGGAGCCTGAGGAGAGACCCCCCCGACCCGTCACCGTGAGTGGGCAGGGGGCTGGGGGGGCACGCGTGGCCCCACTGGGCTGCCTGCGTCTGGCTGGGGAGGGGGCTGCAGCCTGGGTCGTGTTGGGGGGGAGACGCGTTGGCTTCTGTGCCCTGTGGCAGGGCTGAGATTTCACTGAATTTTTTCACTGAATTTCACCGAATTTTAGAGTTGGAAGGGACCATAGAGATCATCTAGTCCAACTCCCCTGCTGAAGCAGGATTGCCTAGAGCTAGAGCATGTTACTCAGGAGCATCCAGGCGGGTCTTGAAAATCTCCAAGGAAGGGGACTCCACACCCTCCCTGGGCAGCCTGTTCCAGGGCTCTGCCACCCTCACCGTGAAGAAGTTTCTCCTCATATTTGAGTGGAACCTCTTATGTTCCAACTTGTGCCCGTTGCCCCTCGTCCTCTCACTGGGAACCACTGAAAAGAGTCTGGCTCCCTCCTCCTTCAACCCTCCCTTGAGATCCTTGTAGGCATTGAGAAGGTCCTGAGGTGGAGCTGCTGCCCCTGCGCTGGGCCTGAGCAAACCAGGTGTTCCCCTGGAGCCTGTGGTTCCCTGGACTTGTCGGGGCTCCCTTATGGGTGCAGTTTGGCGCTGATTTCTCTTTTCTCTGTCCCCCAGCTCCTGCTGCTGTTCCAGCCTCTAACCCTCCCGTACCAGGCAGCCCCCAGAGGTGCTGGGACAGAGGCTGGCCCCGCTGCCCCAGCACACCCCGAGCACTGCAACCTGGAGCCGTGATGGCCGGGCCCCCGAGCACGGCAGGCAGTAGCCCTGCCTGGGACGAGGGTCTGGTAATCCCAGCCCTAGGAGCAGCCATGCTGCCAGGGGGACATCCCCTCAGCTGGCCAGGGGCTGCAGTCGCTGGCAGTGAGCACTGTCCTGAGAGAGATCTGTGTGTAGTGCCAGCGGGTCCTGTCCCTGCAGTGCTCCCCCTGCTCCCTCCCGTGCACTTGAGCCCCAGCCCCCCCGAGCAAAACCTCTGCTTGTAGCCCAAGCTGCCCAACTAATTACTGAGTCCCTGGTCATTTCGGGCACTGGCTGTTCCTCTGCATGAGAAGGCAGGAGCCCCTGGCATCCTCAGCCCCCTGCGGTGAGGGTGGTCCTTGCTGAGACAGATTCTGGCTGTGAATGTGAGAAGGGAGGGCTGACCCTGGAAGGAGCACACAGCCCCACCGTGGGTGTGATGAGGGGGGTGCTGGGGTACAGGGCAGGGGGTTCTGCCACTTGGCAGCCTGCTGGAGGGGGCTGAAGTGGTGCTGTGTCTCCCACCTCAGCAGTGAGGGTGCTGCAGTCGTGTCTGTACCACTCCTATCCCTGTCCATGTTCTGAGAAGAACTGAGTAGGGCATTGTGTTTTAGGTTTCCCCGTATTTATCAGATAATTTATTTGTATTTATTTATTTGTCTGTGTTTGTTGAATTTGTGTGGTGGAAATAAATCCTTTTTCTAGTAAGTGATGCTGGAGGCAGAGTCACTTGCTGCTGTGAGGCTGAGGAACAGTCTTGGCTTAATTTGGACTTCTTCCCTTTCCCCTAAGCCTGCTGTTGCACCATGAGAACAAGGCTGGGCTCCTCAGCTGTTGAGCAGGAGGGTGGCAGCACACTGGTGCATGGAAAGTTTTATCCTTGGTGCCACCTGCGCGCTCATCCTGTGGGACCGGGGTCATGGGCAGGGACCAGCACCTGCTGGAGGGAGAACTGGGGTCCTGTCCAGCCTCCAGTGGCAGCTGTGCTGGGGCCACGGCCACGCAGGAGCTGGAGAAGCTTAGTGGCCTCTTTCCAAGGTTGGGGTGGGGAATTAGGTAAAAAGCAGGGAGCAACCTCTTCCAGGGGCTCTGGGTGGGCAGGCTGGACTTCATTGTCTTAGGAGGAGAGCAGCAGAGGATGCTGTCTCTAAAGATCACAACAGTTCAGTTTGGATTAGAGCTCCCCTCACCACTGCCAGCTCTGGAGGTGGGCTCAGCTGTCCTTGTTTGCTGGACGTGTGTACCCAAGCTCACCAGTGCTGTGTCTGTGAGCACCTTTAGCTGGGAGCAGTCACAGAATCCCAGAATGACATGGGGTTGGAAGGGACCTCTGGAGATCATCTCCTCCAACCCCCTGCCAGAGCAGGGCCACCCAGAGCAGGTCCCACAGGAACGTGTCCAGGTTTGAATGTCTCCAGAGAAGGAGACTCCACCACCTCCCTGGGCAGCCTCTGCCAGGGCTCTGCCGCCCCCAAAGGAAATAAGTTCCCCCTCATGTTTAGGTGGAACTTCTTATATTCAAGTTTGTGCCTGTTCCCTCTTGTCCTGTCCCTGGGCACCACTGAAAAAAGCCTGGCCCCATCCTCCTGACACCCACCCTTCAAGTATTTATAGGCATTGATCAGATCCCCCCTCAGCCTTCTCTTCTCCAGACTAAAAAGCCCCAAGTCCCTCAGCCTTTCCTCATCAGAGGGATGCTCCAGGCCCCTCATCACCTCTGTAGCCTCTGCTGTCCCCTCTCCAGCAGTTCCCTGTCCTTCTGGAACTGGGGAGCCCAGAACTGGTCCCAGTGCTCCAGCTGGGGCCTCCCCAGGGCAGAGCAGAGGGGCAGGATGACCTCCCTCCACCTGCTGCTCACACGCTTCCTGGTGCACCCCAGGAATCACAGAGAACATCTGCTGGTAAGAAAGCAACTCCATCGTCCCACCGTGGTGGCACGAAGCAGAGCTGTGCAGTTGGGTCACGCTGCCAGCCCAGAGCTGTCACTGCTGGGGAGGCGTTTGGTAGAAAACCAGAGCAGGGCTGGGTGGCTCGAGGGGTTGGTTTGTTTATTGCTACAGTGCACCCCAGGAATCACAGAGAACATCTGCTGGTAAGAAAGCAACTCCATCGTCCCACCGTGGTGGCACGAAGCAGAGCTGTGCAGTTGGGTCACGCTGCCAGCCCAGAGCTGTCACTGCTGGGGAGGCGTTTGGTAGAAAACCAGAGCAGGGCTGGGTGGCTCGAGGGGTTGGTTTGTTTATACCCCCAGGAACGGCAACAGCCAAGTTCAAGTAAAAAGTGACAAACTCCGTTGTGTCACCAGGGGCTCCAGCCCCGGGGAGGAAGGCTCATACCTGTGCGCAGAGCCACAGCCCAGGGCTGCCCCGGGACAGGGAGCTGGGCTGGAGTGAGGTGGTGTCCCCATGGGCAGGTCCAGCCTGCGCTCCTGGGGAAGAGAACCACTGGTCCTGGCACTAGTGCCTGATTAACCCCTGGGACATCACAGGGCAGCTGTGCCCAGGAGGGAATGTATGTAAGGAAATGCAGCCCACTTTGGTGGTGCTTTAGGTACCAGTCCCTGAGCCCGGGGAGGATTGTCCTGGGATGGGAAGACACGGCAAAGAGCAGGACACCTTGGAAGGAATGCTCTGAGAGGGGCTGGGCTGGGCAGAGCTGCCCAGTCACACTTGTGGCTCACCTGGTTCCTGCAGGAACTTTGCTGGTGACTGCTCTTCTCCAGCCTGTGGGTTTGTAAGGGACTGCAGAAAGGCCACCTCAGGTGGTGACCTAGTGCACCTCACCAGCCTGCTCTGCAAACTGGTGGCTGAGTCATGGGGTGGCCTGGTGCTTCAGGCCACAGCCCTGGGTTGGCCACCTTGGCAATAGCATTCTGCTTATCTGAGGGACCTGCCAGGGCTGCAGCCTTGAGCCCGCTGGCAGCAGAGGACTTTGCTCTGCACCATGTGGCGAGGCGAAGGCCAGAGGCCAAGGAATGTAAAGATTAGGAGCGGGGTGAGGTGGAGAGGAAAGCTCTGGTGGCTGTAGCTGCCTCAGCCCACAGATTCTGGTTCCGACGTGCAGACGATGGAGTGCGGGGTTGAGATGGTCTTCAAGAAAGAGTCCAAGCCCTGGGGGCCCAGGCTGTCAGCCAGTCCTGGTTCTGCTGGTGCATTGGGGTGGCGGGTACCACGGTTGTCACGGCCCGTGTCCCTGCCCTGGTGGCACCACCACCTTGTCCAGCCAGAGCAGGGGGAGCTGAGCCGGGCGCAGCTGCCGGCGGTGGATGCGGCGCAGCCGCAGGAGGTAGAGGACTATGGCCAGAGCTACCACCAGGATGCAGGCGAAGAAGAGATAGTGGTTGTAGACAAAAGAGAGGCGCAGCCAGGAGCCGTGTGCTTGCCGGATGCCCTCCTGCCGGAGATCCCTGCGGAGAGGAGTCGGGGTTGGAGGGAGGTGCCGTGGGATGCTCCTGTCCCCAGGAGCCCTCACCCGTGGCAGTGACTCCTGCTCTTCCCCAAACACCCTCCCCTGAGCGACACTGTTGGGGCCAACGGTACCTGAGTGGCAGAAACCGTGTCTTGTAGAGGATGGCCCCCAGCGTCCACTGCACCTCCCGGTCGTACACCAGCTGGGCCGTGCGCAGGCTGGGATACTCCGGGGGGAAGCGGAAGCCCTGGTGAAGGACTTGGTACATCCAGGCTGATTTGAAGCACTGATACCTGCGGGAACAGCACACGGGAGCATCAACCCGATGCACGGTCCCTCACCCCGGCAAAAGCCCCCCCCCAGGAGGTGCAGCCATGGCACCCCCCGGCAGAGCCGCTCACTTCAGACGGTGCAGGTCAGCGTGTGCCGAGTAGAGGCCGCCGCGGAAGCGCTGGGTCAGCACCTCCCAGCGCTGGCTGCAGTACTCCTGGGGAACGGAGACGCGGGGGCTCAGAGCCAAGAAACGGCCCTTGCTCCCCCCAGCCCCAGCACGGCCAGTCCCCGGGCTCGGGGCCAGGGCAGCACCCACCTGGGCGGCGGAGGTGAAGGTGGGGGCACTGTAGCGGCCCCCCAGGCGCAGCACGTCCTCCGTGCAGTAGAAAAACTCCGAGAAGCCGTAAAACTCGCTGTTGCTGAAGTCGATGGGGGCTTTGTAGGCCCCCAGCAGGGAGGGCTGGCTGCTGTTGGACCCGGCCAGGAGGGGCTGCAGCTGCTCTGCGCAGGCCGGCCAGTCCCCTCGCCCCCGCACGTACAGCGTCTGGCCGCCCCTGGCCACCGTGTCCTCCAGCCCCACGGGCAGGCAGGGGTCCAGGAAGGGTGTCTTGGGGCTCAGCCCTGTCCGCTGCCTGTGCAAGCTGGAAAACAGGCCAGGAAGGAAAGGCGATGGCATGGGGGTTCTTCTCCCACCCCCAAAAGCCCGGCCTAGCGCTGCCCTGCATCTGGGTGTCCCCTGCGTCAGACCAGGCTGTCCCCCTTGTACCCCACGGTGCTGAGCCCACCCCGCCACCTCCTGCTGAAGCCAGTCTGGAGAGATCTGTCAGGGTGACCCGCAGCCATGCGCCCCGAGCCCCCGCAGGGCGCGATAAGGCAGAGCCAGCCCACCCAGCTTGTGGGGATCCGCATCCCTGCACAGCCCCCGGGGAGCCAGAGGCAGGGTTTGCTCCTGGCACAGGAGTACCTGGGCACCACCGAGCCCCTCCGCCTCTGGCGACAGCTCCGTGTAGCGCTCTGGGAAGGGAAGGAGAGACAGGAGACAGAGAGCTTGAGGCGGGAATGCAGTGGAAGGATGTGCTGAGTGAATCGGTGCTGGAGATGGAGGGAAAGTCAAAGCAAGAAAAGCCAAAAGTCATCAGAGGGGCCTCCCTACAGCCTGCCGTGAGGGAAGGAGGAGGAAGGCAGGGAGCTGTGGCACTGATAACACTTGCCAGGCTTGCAGGAGGGCAGTGCCCGTGGACTGTGTGCCAACCCTGGCGTCTACTGCTGCCAGCGTGGCTGCAGGAGCCGTTATGACCACAGGTGGCTCTTGGGGCAAACTTAATGGGGAGAAGGTGGCATGAAAGACCCAGCACCCCGTTCCGTGATGCCCCAGCAGGGGCACGGCCCGGCGAGGCAGCAGTACCGGTTGTGCACATGGGTCTGGTTCAGCACAAGATCCTCGTAGCGCTGCCGGGCAAAATTGCCCCCAAAGCCCAGAAAAGTGTTGACGTAGACGCGGTACATGTGGCCAGTGTGCTGCACGTCACAGCCCAGGTTGAATTCTGCCAGCAAGTTCTTAGCAGCCTCCTCCTGGGGATGCAGAGGGGTCCGCAATCAGCAGCTCCCCAGAGAAGTCAGGGGCTGCTCTGGGGGCCGACCGGCCAGATACACACCTGCTGGGGGGAGGAGAAGGCTCCAGCGTCGGGTACCTCGTAGGCGATTTGCAGGGAGGCGCCCCCCATGTCTAGGATCCCAACTGTTCGTTTCCGAACCAGGGACTCCCTCTGGTCCCCCAGCGCCACGGTGACCACCGCGTCCTCCTCTGCAACCCACAGCAGTGTGTCGGTGAGGGGCAGGGCCCGGGGCAGCATCTCCTCCCTTCCACTGCTACCCCCAGAGCAGCTTCATGGGGCTCCTCGACCCCCGCAAGCAGCCCCCAGGGACCACCTGCAGGGCATCGGGTCCTGGCACTTGGGCCTGGCTGCCCCCCCAGCTTTGTAGGTTCCCCCAGAGCATCCACTGCTGGAAGCCACTACAGAAACACTATTACAAACCCTCTCTCCCTGGTTCTTCTCCCAAAATGCTCCCCTGGGATGTACCCCTCACACAGAGATTTGTTCCTGGGACTGGGGCAGGTGCCCCTCCAGGTCCCAGGTGCAGGAGAGTCTCACACACGTGGCACTGCCTGGCCAGAGGGGCAGATGGAGCCCGCTCCAGAGCTTGCTCCTAGTCCCAGTGCCGGGGCTGGCTCCAGCAGGGCTCTGCCCACACCCTCCGACCTGCCGTGCGAGCGCTCGGACTCACCATCCTCGTGATCAAACCGGCCCAGGACAAAGTTGATGCCGATCCAAGCGTAGACACCTGCACGAGACAGAGAGAGTCACCACAGCGACAGGCTAAAGGGAGCCCAGCAGTGCCCCGCGGCACCTCCTACCTTCCTGCTTCCCAGAGATCACTTCTGCGTGGGATTTGGAGAAGAGGAAATCAAACTCCAGGGGCACGTTTCTCACCAAGTCCTCCAGGATTGCAGCTTGCTGCCTGTGGGAGAGGGACCCACGCTGGGGCTCCTTCCCCAGGGACGCTCCTTTGCGGGAGCGCAAAAGAGAAGCAGAAACCCCACTGCGATACACCCCCCGAGCCCCACTGCCATACACCCCCTGTCCTGCCCCCCC